ATTACAGCTGAAAGTCCTGACTTTGCTCCCATCTGGATGTGTTTCCTTTCAACTTCAATGCGGTGGTGTACAGAAGCCAAATGCCAAAACAGTTATCCTTGTTCCAATATTTCTGGTCCTTCCTGACTGTGGCCACCAGGCTGAAAAAGTTTGCTCACCTTTAGTTTAAATCATTACAATAAATCAGTCTGCAATCTGTCATTTTTTTTCTAAATTAGGTTAGGAAAGTTGTTTTGGATACCATGAAGAATATTCATCCCATATATAATATCAAGGTAAGCTAAAAATATTTGATGTAAAATTATTTTGGCTGACTTGGCTGAGGTGTTTGTTACCTTTTTAGCATTCCCTCTCAACATGCAATGATTTGGGCAGAGCAGTTGTGTGTCTTCCCTTTAGATAATTCTGCAGTGAAACCACTATTGAATCCCAAATCCAGTGCTATTTGATAGCCATCAGAGAATGATAATACCCCCACATCCGGTTAAAATAAATTAATGGTGTCAGTTCTACAAAATATAGGTTCTAACTCCAATTAAGGCATGGACAGAGAACAAGGGAGTGCAGTAACTTTGTATCCTGAATTGATCCTTAGCTGTTCTTTTTTCAGCTTCTCTGCTGTTGAAAGTGGCGGAAATTCCTGCAATTGCCCAGGGGAGCCTCCATGGACAGACCATGGAAATTTTCTACACCTAGCAGCCCCTCAGTCAGAAGAGTATAGATTTGCTCCTTTAAATACTTGGGATTGCAAATTCTTTTGAACCCAAAATTCAAATAAATGTGCCAATTTGCTTCTTAATTTTTGCATGTCTGCCATTTATTGCTTCTATCAAAAAAATCTGAAGTGGAAGAATCATTAAGTTTAGCAAGTTATTTATAATTGGATCACTTTCTCCTATGTTAATATATACTATTATTAAATGAGTCTATTTTATATATGATATGAAGCCTCCTGATTTTTCCTTAGGTTAAATAAAACAATAGAGTTTTTATCCTAACTTACTGTTTGATGTTTAATATGTTTGAAGACACTAATGATTAAGAGAGAATTGTCAAAAGATCCTGAATTAAGATTGGAAAGCTGGGAACGTTTTTTACCCAAGTTCAAACACAAGAATTTGAACAAACGGAAGGAACCAAAGAAGAAAAGTGTCAAGAAAGAATACACTCCCTTCCCACCTCCACAACCAGAGAGTCAGGTCTGTTTAATATGAAATTTTACAACAACATAAATGAATTTCCTGAGTGACAGCTGATGCCTTTATACATGGATGACAAACTCTGATGTTGCAGATGTTTGAGAGTGTAGCCCATAAATGTGGCCAATGGACAGGGGTGATAACTCTACTCTAACATCATCTGGAGGGCACAGGTTCCCCACTCCTTATTTTAGTGTATTGTGAAATCTAATCAATGTTTCTGTATAGATATAGCCTAAAGATAATTGCAGTTGATTGGAAATATTCTCTTTCATTGCAATGTACAGTAATGTGCAAAGGTTTTAGGCAGGTGTGAAAAAATGCTGTAAAGTAAGAATGCTTTC